AGTTCCTCCGGGGCCATGCTGGGCTTGGGACTCACCTGGAAAGTAGCAGCTGGCAGGTTGGAGATGGCAACATACTGGAGGTTATTCTGCAGGGTGTAGATGAGAGAGGGCACTGCAAGCTTGAATGTGTCCACATACTGCACCAGGACAGCCTCGTGGAGGAAGAGGACCAGATGCTTCACGTTACCTTGGTGGATGGAGGAGAGCCCTTTAGCACTGACTACCAAAGACAGGGATCCTCTGCAGGCTGGGACTAGGCCTGATCCCGTGTCTCCCCACCACACTGCCTCCCTGAGGACTAGCATGAGTCTGTGCTCTCAATTTCCCCACAGAAGAAGCATGTCTCCAGCAGGCCTTTCGGATACTCAGTCCATTAACACTGGACGTAACACTGTGTCTGAGAATCACAGGCCGTATCCCACTCATCTTAGAGCCTGCCTCCCTGGCGCAAAGCCCCATTCAGGGCAAGCACTCAATACACATTTGTACAAGGAACTCATCAGCATTAAGTAGGATATTGTGAAGCAGGAGCCCAAGGAGTGTAGGTGGAAGGCTGTTTATCAAATAGGGATACTTTTACACTCCACTTGTAGACTTAACCTAGCTCCTTACTGGCCTGCAAGCTTTCTGTCAGCCCTACACACACCAAGCAGTTACCCTCAACACATGGAAATACGCACGCTTGACTGTTAAGCAGAAAGTCTGGTTGGGACCTGCTCCAATCAATCAATGAGAATATTTTCCTATATAATAAGGCCTTTGCAAAGCTCGTCCCACTTTTTTGGCAGTTCGGTGTCACTCCTCAGGGAAAACCCAACCACTCCACAAGATTATCGTGGGACCTGTCGATGCTCACTCACATTCCCTGTCCTTGCCTTTCATGGCATTAACCCCAGGAGTAATTATCAATGTCTAACCCCTTACCCAAATTTCCTGGGCCCAGGTGTTTGGGTGCTTAAAAATTTTCAGGTGTTAGAAAGGTAACATGGTCAAAATACTATATACTTCATATAACACACCAGACATAAATGGGCTACACACCATAATCAAGCACATTCATATTCCTATCACATGAGAAAAAGAGAAACACACAAATATATCAATAGCCCCACATCAGGTCAGGCCAAGCTTTACCACCAAATTCAGAGACAAGGAAAGGTGTGTGTGTGTGTGTGTGTGTGTGTGAGAGAGAGACTGTAGGTAAGAGATGAAAGCCTGTGACTAAGTCTGCAGCTATTTGTTTCTCCTCATCTAATGTATCAGCCCCATGAGGGCAAGATGCAAGTCTGTGCTATTAACACCCTCCTCCACAGCCACGGCAAGGCCTGCCATGCAGTATTCACTAGAAAGTGCCTGAGAATCAATCAGGAGCAGAGCAGGTAGGTCCCTAAACTGCTGTCTCCCAGGGCCCTGGAGTAAAGAGTGGGTAAGAATGTCTTGTTCAATGTAAGTGCTGAGGGCATAACCACATGCAAGGCTTTTATAGAGAAATGACTTGGCAACATTTTAAAGAAGAAGGTCTTCAGGGAGGTGTTTAAATTAGGAGATAAGCCGAAACCGGGTTGGCTCAGTGGATGGAGCGTCGTCTTGCGGACTGAAGGGTCCCAGGTTCGATTCCGGTCAAGGGCATGTACCTGGGTTGCAGGCACATCCCCAGTGGTGGGTGTGCAGGAGGCAGCTGATCGATGTTTCTAACTCTATCTCTCTCCGTCTCTCTCCCTTCCTCTCTGTAAAAAATCAATAAAATATATTTAAAAAAAAATTAGGAGATAAAGCTACCTTATAGGAAATACAGAGGATAGAAGAACATGTTAAATACAGAGGATAGAACTGCTGGGAGGCAGTCAGCAAAATCTAGGTTACCCAAAGTCTACAAGACAAATGACCTGGTTTCTTCAACAAATTAGAGAGAGAGAGAAAGAAAAGAATTGGAGGGAGATATAGAGGTTAACAAACTCAGAAGACCTTAACCAAGTACAAAACACTGATCTTGATATAAACTTGACTCAAACACTGATACAGAAAACAGATTGACAGCTGTCAGCGAGGAGGGTGGTGGGAAGCTCGTTGAAAAAGGTGAAGGATTAATAAAACACAAACAAACAAAAACACTGTATAGTCTAGACAAATAATAGTATGGTGATTTCCAGAGGGAAAGGGGGGTGGGGAGAGGTTGGAGATGGTAAAGGGGGAATAAATGGTGATGGAAAGAGACTTGACTTGGGGTGGTGAATAAACAATATACAGATGATGTAATATAGAATTGTTGTACCCCTTAAACCTATATAAATTTATTAATCAATGTCACCCCCAATAAATTCAATAAAAAAACTTGACTCAAATACATTTTCAAAAATGTTTATGACACCCTAGCTGGTTTGGCTCAGTGGATAGAGTGTCGGCCTGTGGACTGAAGGGTCCCAGGTTTGATTCAGGTCAAGGACACATGCTTGGGTTGCGGGCACATCCCCAGTGTGGGGCATGCAGGAGGCAGCCGATCCATGATTTTCTCTCATCACCGATGTTTCTCTCTCTCTCTCTCTCTCTTCCTCTCTGAAATCAACAAAAACTATAAAGAAATACTTCATGTGGGACATAGGGCAGGTCCTCAAATAACATTGTTTTCTTTAATATTATTGTGTTATAACTATTGAAATGCCTATGAACTTAACTCATTTGTATCAATTAGCCTGTGGTAAAACTGGTTTCATTATATAGTTTCATTTAAAGTTGCTGAACCTGTTGATGACATTAAGTGATGACTTACTGCACTTCAATATAATAAGGTGGGGGGGGGGCGTAGGCAGGCAGACATATAGATTGGCAGTGAGTGGATAATCGCTGACTGGTTTTTTTGTTTTGTTTTGTTTTTTATTAATCTTCACCTGCGGATATTTTCTCATTGATTTTTAGAGAGCGGAAGGGATGGGGAGAGACAGAGAAATATCAATGTGAGGGAGACACATTGATTGGTTGCCTCCCGGGGATGCAGCCTGCAACTGAGGTACATGTCCTTGACCGGAATTGAACCTAGGATGCTTCAATCCAAGGGCCGATGCTCTCCATCCACTGAGCAATACCGGCTAGGGCTCACTGACACTGTTTAATGGCAGAGTGGCCATCAGTTGATAATTGTTGAATCTGGGTGATGGGTACATGGATATTTTCCTATTTTATCATTCTCTCTGATTTTGTGTTTGAAGTTCCCCATAATAAAAAGCTAAAGAGACTAAATAAATCATCATGTAAGGGTCACCTGCCACTGATGGGTCCAGACTGGCTCACTCATACAGGGTTTGGGGTACAAAAGTGTAGATGGAGCCACTCATAGCTGGAGGAACAAGGCAGCTTGGCTGCACTTACACACTTCCCAGGAAACTCCACAGATTCAGAGATATTCCCCCAGTAAACCCACCATGTGGGTGCAGGTCTATACACACACACACACAGAGGCAGAATCCTACCAGACAACTCCAGTACAGCCCCTGCCCCTCCCTGGCTCATACCCCTCTTCTGTGCGAAGAGTAGCAGCAGGCAGGTGAGACCTTTGAGCACCTCGGCCATAACCACAGCAGTAGTGGCAAAGAAGCGGTCGCCAGGCAGCGTGCGGGTGTAGCGGATGCTGAGGATGAGGGAGGCATTCTGAACCACCAGCACGGCTAGGGATATGTATTTGAGGCGCCGGTGAGCTGTGGGGAATGGAAAGAGCAAAGGGGAAGGTGTCAGAAGCTGCTTGGGGCATAGTCATACCACCCACCCGCCCCTCTCCTTTTCAACCAGGATCCTCCTAGCCACCACTGCTTCCTCCTCCCTCTGCCTGCCCATCCTAACCTGATGAGGGTCACAGGAAAAAGACCCAGAAAGGTAGAAGTGGGCCGGGCCCATACCTGGAATCCTTCCTGAGGTGTTAGGAAATGGCCAGGGCAGGCCCTGGACACCCTGCTTCCCCCGAGAAGCAACTCTCCCAGAAAATATTACCAATTACAGTCTCAACATTTATTGAGTGCTTATTGTTTGCCTATCACTGGGCTAAGGGATTTATATGGATTACAACAGACCCCAATATTGTTCTGATCTCTGAAGGAACTATAAGGACTCCCATTTTATGGATGAGCTAACTGAAGAGTTATATGTAATGTTGCTTCTATTTAATGAGGGGTTGTTCCATGTAAGGAATGATACTCTAATACAGGGAATGAGACCACCGTATAAAGCAGTGGTTCTCAACCTTCCTAATGCCGCGACCCTTTAATACAGTTCCTCATGTTGTGGTGACCCCCAACCATATAATTCTTTTCGTTGCTACTTCATAACTGTAATGTTGCTACTGTTATGAATCGTCATGTAAATATCTGATATGCAGGATGTATTTTCATGGTTACAAATTGAACATAATTAAAGCATAGTGATTAATCACAAAAACAATATGTAATTATATATGTGTTTTCCCATGATCTTAGGCAATCCCTGTGAAAGGGTCGTTCGACCCCCAAAGGGGTCGCGACCTGCAGGTTGGCAACCCACAGGTTGAGAACTGCTGGTATAAAGCATGTCCACTCCCTAAGAAACAGCCTTTCCCGCAACTAAGAAATTATTTTATTCTTCCACACTCAGAATGGTCTCTCCAACCCCTCCCTCCTATGAGGACAGATTCTTTCTGACCCAAAATAATCTAACCAATAAGATATGATTCCCACATTGTCCCAAGGATTGAGCCCCATATAATCAATGATTACTTCACCAAAAATGGTCTGGTTCCTTCAGTGATATAAGGAAATTTCCCTTTCTTCCACATGGTCCAGTCCTCCAACCACTGCATTCCTCTACCTCCAGCCGAGAATTATTCCTTGTTTTTCTCACACAATGAACAATCCTGGCTATAAGGAAGAGCCTGGCACCCTAAGAACGTCCTTTTTCCGCCCTATAAGGAAGGACTGCCCCCCCCCCACTCCAGCATATAATAAACCTCCATTGGGAGGGGACCCCCAGATGGCCTGCTCCTCATATAATGAAGGACATCCCCAGCCTCAAAATGGACTCTCTAAATCACATAAGGAAGGACCTGCCCCACCCTAACTCACAATAGCCCCTGTCCCTTTATAAGGAAGAAACTCCACCCGGAATAACCTCTCCCTTGTATAAAGAGAAAACTCTCCCACCCTCGGAATGGTCTCTCCTTTCTATAAGGAAGGACCCCCACACACACTCAGAATGGTCTTAGCCTCCCCAAGAGGAAATATCCCCCTAGACTCAAAATAGCCTCTACTCTCCTTATGCAGAAGAGACCCCCCCATCACCCTCGGGATTTATTTTTCCCACCCTCCACACACTCACAATGGTCTGTTCCTTTTTCCCTCCCCACCCATCCTCACCCCCGCTACACACATTGGTCGGTCCGTATGGGATGCTCCCCTCTCGCTTCAGTCAAGCACCATCCTGAAGTCCCCCAGCGGTCCTGCCCCTGCCCCGCCGCCGACCGCTCGGCCACAGCCTGCCTCACCCGCACTCATGGTACCAGGCTCCAAGGCCCCCGCGGAGACCACTCCTGGCCCCGCCGCCGCGGTGGAACAGCCAGACCCAACCGCTGCCATGTTGGCATCTGCCTGGCCCGTCCCCTCGGCAACAGCAGGCCACTTCCGTGTCTGTCACTTCCGCTTCCGGGCCTCCAGGGTAAGCTAGGACGAGGGAAGGGCCGACCAGAGCAGTGGCTTTCCTTCAGTCTAGTCCAGATCGCCGTTTTGAAGCCTCCGGACTTGATTCCACGTGATACGGAGATCGGGCGTACGGCCAGCTCAGCACCGCCCCGCCCCCCCCTCCGGGCACAGCCTCTTCCCGTTACTACGACCCGCCCTCTTCATTGAGATCGCTTTCCAGATCACCCGCCCATCCCGTCTCCTCGTCTCATTGGTTCAGTTGCCCCGCTCTTATCTCCGTTCTTTATTGGCATCGTCTTCTGATGGCACCACCCTTTCCACACCAATACTAGGTTTCTTTCCTGGTTGAAGTTCCTCTTTCCCCTTTCCAAGAGAGGACCCACCCCACCCCCCTTTGTGCGCCTTCGGGCTTTTGGGAGCAAAATGATGTTTGAGGAGGCGGGGCAGGTGAAGGTCAACCAGGTAATCTAAATCAGGGCAGTTTAGAATATACAAGTGAAAGGGCACAGGAGAGTTTAATTGAGCCAGACAAGGGAGGGCAAGCCAACATTGAAATGGAAAAGAACTGAGTGGACTGGTAAGCCTGCAGGTGAGAGGATTACCGGTTAGCTTTTGAAAGCAGGGCAAGAGAAGGAACAGCTGAGGTGGGGACAAGTGGAAACAAGATAGAATAGGGAAGGTAAATCAAGAATTAAGGAAGAGAGATGAGCACTTAAAGGTAAAAGGGAGAGGCGAAAAGGTAAGGACAAAACAAGTGTCAGAAATCAAGGGCAGGTAAGATCCCACTCTGCATTCAAACTTAGCCCCACCCTCACCAATGGCCTCAAAGGGCTTTTCTTTTCCCACGTGGAAGGGATTTACTTCCTCCCTAGAATTGGGGGGGGGGGTGTTCCTGCCCCAAGCTAGCCATCTTTAATCAGGGATATGTCCCAAACATCTTCAGTATCTGTGTCCAATGGAGCCCTTCTGCACCTACTGGTCATTACATAAGAGCTGGGGAAGGGGCGCTGTCAAGTTTTGTGTGAATCCATAAAAGATCTTTAGGAGGGCACCACAAGACAGGCTTCCTGAGGGCAGAGGTGAGACCCACTCCATCTCCCTCTTGGCTCAGACGCAGCAGATGTTCCACAAACGCCTCACTGCAACTACAACTGGCCAGTCACTTGTGATTCTATAACGTTTATTAAATAGTGGGTTTCCACACATGGCTTTTTAAATAATCCAGGCATGTGGAGAAGGGAGAGGATGACACAGTTGGAGCTCCCTTCCTCCTAATACATAAGTATTTACATTTCAGCAACTGGACAATCCTGGCTCAGAAGGAGGCAGCAAGAATCCAAAAAAGGTGGAGGGGGAGGCCCTAGGAGAACAAACAACAAGACTTATTTCCCCCACCCGATCCCCCCAAAAACCATCCAACCCATCCTAGTGGACTCTGGTGGTGTCCATCTCCCATTCCTTCCCAAATCTTGGAAGTAGGGTTTCTCCTCACCAGAATAAGAGCACTTGGAATAACAGAGTAGGGTCCCTTCACCAAAAAAACCAAGACAAAAAAAGAAAAAAAAAAGCCCTGGGATAACAATAGGGCATTACCTCCCCCAGAATAATCAACCCTGGGCTGAGGTAGGCAAGCAGCTTGACTGAACATGGAATCTTAACCTAAGCTAAAGGAAACAGTCCCTTTACTAAAATAAGAGCTGCTGGGGTATTCCAACAAAAGCACCCTTGCCCAAGTTAGAGCATTTCAACTAAGTTTGTGTGGTGTAGCAGGCAGGAGGTGCCAGTGTAAGGGTTGTAACACAGATTCCTGGGGCTCAGAATGGAATTAACTTCAACCAAATAAACATACTTAGTAAAATGAGAAGCAAGGAAGTCCCCCCTCCAGAATAAGAAACTGTAAATTCTGGGAGGAAGGCTCCTTAAACAGGATTGGGATGGGGACTGGGCAGACTTGGCATATGTTTTCTGACCCCTGATCCCCAATCTCTGACCCTAGTAACACTGGATTTTTTAATGACCTGTAAAACCAGATCAACAGATGTGTTATTCCTGTGGCATGGAACCGCCCAACTAGGGCAGCAGGGACCAGGCCAAAGGGGCAGAACCCCCTTTAGGGGTGTCAGGGGGTGCATCCTCAGCTGGTTTCTGCATCCAGGGATCCACCAGGATCTCCTCCAGTGAGGGTCGAGCAGAAGGTTTAGGGTCCAGGCACCGGCGGATTAGGGCACAACAGTCTGCAGGTCAGAAACACATAGGAAATTAGCAGTTAGTTGGGGGCACCAGTCCCTGGGAGGTATGGAGTCCACTGGGCTAGGGCCAGTGAGGGCCTCACCTGGGGATACATGGTCAGGGAAGTGGAGCTCAGCCTCCAAAATCTCCTGGTCCCTCTCGAAGGGAATGTCTCCACATACCATGTCATAGAGAAGGACACCCAGTGACCAGACAGTGGCCGGGAGAGCATGATACTGGTGACGAGAGATCCACTCCGGGGGGCTGTATACCCTTGTCCCTGTATGTAAGCCAGAGGTTACCATTTTTTGATAATGCCCTTCTTTCCACCCCCACCCCACTCCCACCCCAGGAAGTATGGTCCTGTCACCACAGTAGGAGCTCTTTAAATATAGCAGCAGGGTCTCATCACCAGAATAAGAGCACTAAAGACAACAGAGTCCCCTCATAGAACAAAAGCACTTAACACTCAGGGAACAGGATCCCCTCACCAGAATAAAAGCCCAGAACAAGGTCAGGGCACTGTGAGAAGATGGGCTTTAACAGAGGGCAAGGCAGGAGGAGCCCTCAATATTAAAAATCAAGAACCTTATAAAGTTACAATGTAGGTCAAGGGTTACACCCCAGCACTGGAGATCACAGGTCAAGAGTCCAGAAAGATATAAAAAGTAAAAGATCTCCCCACTGAGATTTAGGAAAGTCTTACCATCAAAGTCAGTGTAGGGTTCATCATGAAGCAGGGCACCAGAACCAAAATCAATGAGTTTGATAGAGACTCGGCGGAGGTCTATCAGGATGTTTTCATCCTTGATGTCACGATGAACAACTCCACGGGCGTGGCAGTGCCGAACGGCTGCCACTACCTGGGTGAAGAGGCAGCGGCTCCGTTCTTCACCCAGCGGACCCTGTTCTGTGATGTAGTCAAAGAGATCCTGGGCAGGCAAAGGCCGCTCAAGGACCAGCATGAAGCCCTCCGAGGTCTCAAACCAGTCAAGCAGGCGGATCACACCAGGGTGTCCACCACCTGCACCCACCTTCCACAGCAGTGCTACTTCCAGTGGGCATGTGACTGACTCTGACTGTGGGAGGAAACAGGGAGAGAGAAGAGAACACAGACATTAGGCCAGTAGCTCTGAGGCTGACTTCTGGCCTGAACTTAAATCATAGCCCCTCAACCTCCTAACTATGTGGCTTGGAGCAAACCACTTCCTTCCCTGGGTCTGTTTCCTCATCTTAAGGGCTCAAACTCACACAGCCATTGGGAAGGTGATTAAATCCAAAAGCCTATGCATGTCTGGCATGTAACAGGAGTTCAGTAAATATTTCAAGAACAAATAAAAGTGGTTCTTTTTTTTTTAAATATATTTTATTGATTTTTTACGGAGAGGAAGGGAGAGAGATAGTTAGAAACATCGATGAGAGAGAGACATCGACCAGCTGCCTCCTGCACATCTACTGGGGATGCGCCAGCAACCCAGGCACATGCCCTTGACCGGAATCGAACCCGGGACCTTTCAGTCCGCAGGCCAACGCTCTATCCACTGAGCCAA